TCCTTACTAATTTTCAGTAACGTGTACAAGTCTGGGTGTATTCATCCTGATGCAGGGGCGTAGACTTCGGCGTCTTGAAGCACCACCTCGCGCACCAAGTTTTCGCGAGCAAAACCAGCCACAGCAAATTCCCTTTCGCAACACGACTGCCCGCCCGGTGCCAGCCAGCAAGCCGCGCCCGCGACCACTACGTGCAATCGAGGGACCGGAACTGCGAGAACGAGGAGTGGCCGCCAAGGGCTTCTCGTTCCGGGAGGAAGGGTAGAAGGGTGGGAAGGGAGGCAACAGATGGCACAAGCGGGCGAGGAGGATAAGTTTGTCTCCGAGAGACGCTCCTCAGTGGGACTGCTTGCTGCGCTTCAAGTCCAATGGCAGACAAGAACTCGTCCGTCGTCGAGAGCTCGTCGTCGTTTGTCGGCGATTGTCGCGGGTGTTGGTCGATGCAGTGGGACAGCATCGGCGCCACGGAACTTTGTGGTGTCGTCGGACAAAAACCGGTGTTTGTCGCTCTAGGGGGACGAGGCCATAACCATCTTTTGGTCCCTGTCGAGGAACAACTGCTTTCGCGTGGGTGTCCGAGACATTGGAGTTCCCATTTGACATTGGATAATCCGGCCCTGGCCTTACAAGTACTTTGTCGCCAACGCGACCTTGACCACGTGTCCGTACGCCTTTGGCAACGCTCAAGGACGATTCATCGTCATAATTGCCGTAACGACGTCACGTGATGTCAAGCACCGCAGGAACGGAAGCAGGATGCAGGATAAAAAAGAGTGGGGTCAAAGGAGGCCATAAAATACGATTCCCGGATGTTTTTTTGCAGCAAGTTCAAACGACCAGAAACAACATCTGGTAGCGATAGAGAGAAGACGCCAGCTCGCCCTGTAGGTAGCGCTGATACGTTGAATTTTACTTCTGCAACATCGAACGCTGCGATCGGAGTGTCGTGAAGAGTTGATACCAGGACATCGTGTTTTGCTAAAGCTACGGTGCGTTGAAAGGGTCTTCGACTGTCTGCCGAACTGAATAGCTGGGTAACTCTGTTTTTATTTATATATAAACTGAAAAAAAAAATAGACGCTTTTAGGTGGCTACGCACGGGCTCCACCATTACCGACTTTAAGTTTTTGTTTCCTCTTATTCCGTTTGCTTTACTTCATCATTGCCACAGTAGGACAGGTTATAGCCTCTTTAGGGGTTACTGTGTCCTTCTCCCTTGCCTTTGTAGAGGCTCGTCAATGCCCACTTCAGTGGCTCGGCATCTCGGTCAGACAGGAGAAGGTTGGCAATGGCGGTTCAATTCGGCAAGTGTTTGAAGCGTCTATAGCCACCTCCATAACAAGCCGGAGACCAGTAAAAATAATGGACAGCGACACAGATTGCTTTAAACCAAAGCTTGTTCTTCAACTTAAGAAACCTAAGTTTATATAGAAGAGAAACCTCTTAGGTAGTTACAAATCAGTGACTCAGAATTTTGGAGTTAATTCGCCAGGCCGCCTGTATATTTTGCCACGCCCAGCCAGAACTGAATGAATAGCCCCACCAAGATGAATCTTTTTAAAGCAAAGGAGAAGGGAACCCCCTATTGTAGCACCATATAGTGTTGGGCACACCACGTTCTGTTGTCTTTGTTTCCTCGCTTCGTCTTCGTCGTCTGAGCTGTTTTGGTCATGTGTTACGTTTACCAACTCGCCCAATTCACCCCGTAAGTGTTGACGTCACAACATAGCTCTCCGCTCCAAACAAACAGCTGCTAGGGCCGTTGTAATGAACAAATGCATAGGCGCTCTACGTGAGGTTAGAAATTGTCCGCTGAAAAATGAAAGACCTTTACAATTCCCTGTATTGCCTTATTAGAGCACAGCTCTTAAGGAGGAGGAGGGGAGGGTACGGAGGGGGGGGGGGTATGCCCCTCCTCCTCCTCCGTGCCCTTTCATTTTCCCCTTCTCTTTTAATAATAATAGCTTATTTCCATGAAGCATGGTGGAGCGAAGGGTAAAAATCTCAAACAAGGCTTGACCAGCCCTCGGCTCCAAACAATGGCATTGCAGTAAAAAAAAAAAGCCCACGAAATTACAAGACAGTTATTAACTACCTAAACAGTTGCATGCACAGTCCTTGCAGACGAGGAATCAGAAAGAAAGAGAAGAAAACTAGTACACTTTATGTAGCATAAACGAATTTAAAGAATCAATTGAGTGGGGGCAGGTAAATCACTGCTACAGATAAAAAGAACGCAAAGACTTGAAAGACATAGTGTCAATGCAAACTTATTTTTCTTGAAGGAAATTTAACAGTTTTGGTGTGCTATATCGCAACATTTGCCTACCGCACTTAGTAGAACACTAGACAACCTTCCAATATTCCATGTGTCTAGTTAAGTGCCCATGTTGATTTGGTGTCATTGCCGCAAGGGTTGACAACGATTTATTATGTTTCATTTTTTTTTCTAATTTTAAGCTCAGGATCAATCTGTATTTAGAAGGACTATAAATTTTTAATAAGCTAAACTTCTTAAACAAACGGCCTGTATGGAAATCATAAAGCAGATTGCACAATATTCTTCTCCTCCTCTCCTCCTCCTCCCTCTCTCCTTCCTCGTGACGTGACTCGTGAAGGCTTCGCGAAGGTCGTGACCTTCACTGTGAAGGTCGTGAGCTTCGTCGTGACCTTCACGAGTGATCTTCGTGACGTCACTTGGGAACCTCGTGACGTCATACGTCACGTCACGTGTGACGTCATTATGGGAAACATCGCATAATGCAACGCGCGGTTACGCCGATGGCGACGGCGATGCCGTACAAGCCGGTAACGGGCGCCTAAGAGCTGTGCTCTAAAAGTAAACCATTTTTGTACGCCTACTGTCTTTTCAATATCTAGTCATTAAGACTTTTTCTATCGTCCCAGTGCCACAAAGCGATCGCAAAAGGTCACAATAAAGTTTTACAGCCGGTTTTGCCTTGCTAGCAGACAACAGGGGCTTCGCGGGTTCAATGGTCCTTTCTGAGGGAGTAGGCGACCGCGTTGAATGAAGTTGGTGATGATCGACGAAGCTTCTATTCTCGGGTCAACTTCCGCGGGATCCTTGGAAGCGAAGAGTGCCCGGTACAGCTTCGACCGACGCTCGAGGTGCGCGAACGCCTTCCCGTGGACGCAATATTTGAAAAGGTGAAAACACCGTGAAGCCGAATTGACCGAATCACGTACGACGACGACGTTGAGTGAATCAAGGTCGAAGTGCAGGACCAGCACACGCTTTAAGGATTTCTGACAGCAGAGTTGCTTCAGTGCACACAATGCTGCCAACCTTAGGGATTTTCCCTGGATCTAGGGATTTCCGTCATCGTCTAGGGGCAAAGAGAAATTTGTTCGAATCTAGGGATTGTTTTTAATGGGCTTCAGAGGGTTTTAAAGACACGTTCCTTCCCTTTTTCCTCCTCGTTCCGGCCGAGTGCAGAGGGGGAAAGGCTTCTTTGTATATTGTCGGGGCCAGACATTATCTACAATGGTAACAACAACGATTTTACGGGGCCACACAATGCCAAAGTAACAACGTTTAATTATCTAGAAAGGTTTTAACGACGCAAATTTAGCACTTAAATGTCCACCCAACTAAGGGAATCTATTCTTAAAGGGTAACTGCAAAAAACAAAAAAAGAAGTGTTTTTAAGCGGTCTTATTGGGACAAGCATGTCACAAAACAAATCTTCCGCGAAAAAAACAAACATTTTTTAGCAATATTTACGCCACAGGACGTAATTTAGTCGGAGTCACAATTTCTCCACATTTCAAACTCCCGCTCTTTCTACGCGCGCGGAGTGGCTGTTAGACGTCACCCCGTGACGTATAGCAGCCACTCCGTGACGTATAATACCAACTTTGTGGCGTGCCATTTAAAACGGACGAAAAAGCCGCAAACTAAAAGTAGTCTCGCACAAAAAAAAATGTAAACAATTGTTTTTTCGCGGAAAATTTGTTGTGTGACATGCTTGTCCCAACTAGGCTGTTTAAGATTACACTTTTTTTTCTTTGCAGTTACCCCTTAAGCTAGCCCATAAGGATATTCTCAATATTGACGTAACTGAACACATCTTCTGAAGAGCTAGGGAGATCTAGGGAATTTGCCGATCAAATTCGGGGAAGAAACGACTGAGGAGGTTGGCAACTCAGTGCACATCTTTGTTATCAAACGAACTTTCCGTAACAGATATAGATTATCGCAGATGGAAGCGGACCCAGAAGCTTTAAACAAAAAAAATTAAGATTTGTTTTGTTCTTTTGTTTTTCGAGTTGTCTCCGAACGCTGACAAGACCCTCGTTCCCAATATGCTCAGAGTACGCGATCAAACAATGTTGGACTTAGATAACTACTGTAGCAGCTGCTAGATGGCGTGCGCGCTTTTGAAAAAGGTTACATTGTCCTCAACTTTTTCATCGGTTTATTTTTCTTGTCAGGTTAAAGCACGAAACTTTACCTCTCAACAAAAATCGTAAAAAAAATGAAAGCCGTTAGAGCGCAGTTCTCGAGGAGGAGAAGGGAAGGGTACTGAAGGGAAGGTATACCCCTCCTTCCTCCCCCTCACGACCTCATCCTGTCTGCTACTTCTCCCTCCGAGCGGCGTCGCCGTCACCTCACGAGGGTCACGTGACGCCAGCGGGGTAACGTGACCGTACGGGGGCCACGTGACGTCACCGGTGTCGCGTAACCTCACGGGGGTCACGTGACCCCTGTGAGGTCACGTGACGACGACAATGACGTTATCACGATGATGTCATCGTCATTGTGATTACGTCATCAGTAACGTCATGTGTGACGTCATCGTGATGACGTCATCGGCATCGTCCCTGATGACGTCATCAGTGACGCCACGCGTCCCATAATGCACCGCGCGGTTTCGCCGACGGCGACGGCGACGCCGCTAAAGCCGGAAACGGGCACCTAAGAAACTGTAAAAAAAATAATAACGTCATCGTCGTTGTATTGTTGGAACCGCAGCACCATGAGCAACGAGGAAGTGAGAGAAAAATACATACGGGAATTTCGGCCCAGAGAATACCCGGGGGCAATGAAAGGGATCCCCGACGTGCACTCCTTTTACCAGAAGGAGCTTCACTTCATCTTCAACTCTCGTAAGTACACAGAGCTTCATCTCTGTCGATGTTTCGGTTAACGTCAAGATAAGTTGTAGCTGTAGTAGAAACAAAGCGAACTTGCCGCTCATTCACACAGAAAGCGGATCGGCGTTTGCAAAGCGGTTGCGAACGCAGTTGTATAAAAAGATCCAGTACAATTGCACGCGCATTTGACGTCATCGAGTGCGCGTGCAATTGTTGTGGATCCTTATAGAACCGCGTTCCCAACCGCTTTGCGAACGCGGATCCGCTTCCAGTGTGAATGAGTGGTTACAGTTGTCTGCGGGTTCACATGCGGTGTCTCTCATGTATCTCTCGAACACCGACGCCTATAAGCCTCGTGCACGTGCAGCAGGCACGCGAGGGTAATTTCGTCAAGCTTGCAGTCACTCGTGTTTACATCACGAACAAAAAGCCAGCCATAGGCGTTTTCGCGTGCATGCTCCTCGTGCTGCAGGATTGTCGGTGTTGGTTATTTCTGCTTGGCGCTACAGTGAAACTGGTATAGACCTTTCCAATGTTTACAAATCCACAGCTCAGCGTGCGATCTCCACAGCTCAGCACGCGCGTGTGCGTCGCTTCGGAAAGCGAGCAAATCACGCGCGATACGCACGAACACTGAAAATGAAACCGGCCAGCAGCCCTTTTCTGGAAAGGTCTATACTTTGTCTCACCTTAGCATGGACTAGCTGCGAAAGCTGCGAAAGCACGAGCGGCTAGCCTTGACTGCCTTGACCGGAGCACTCGCTGCACGGGCGCTGATGCAGCCGTTCATCCAAAGCAACCAGCTCGCGCTTTTAGCATGCACGGCTAACAATAGTCCATGCTAAGCTGAGACGAAGTATACATTCGATAACACTAATCATATTGTTTGTCGTTCTTTCTTCTCCATTTAATAAAACAAGAAAAGCCCGCTCAGATTTCAAGATTGTCCTGTAGCGACCGTCCCGTGGCATAGAGGACGGCACTAGGCTCCGCCTCCAGCACGTAATTGTTAACTTTCGCCGTGCTTTGGCTGCCCCTGTGACGATCCCCAACTTTCGTGCACACCAACGCCTCGGCGCAGGCACTAAAATCAGAATTTCAATTGAACAACAACAAACGTCACAATGTTCCTCGGGAATATTTTAGATGACAATCATAAAATATTAATAACCAGTAATTAAAACTTGGACGCGTATAAATTTTATTCTATGGCCCTCCAATTTCTTTTGTTTTTTCGAGGTGAATAATATGGGTTTTGCTTTTCTTTTCTTTTTTTGACGAAAGATTTTAATGCTCCCGAGTACTGTAGTTGCTTGGGCATCATATAACTTAAAAATCAATTATAATTTGGTAGTTTAAAAAGCGTTTTGGGACACGGAATGTCCCAGAAATTTGGCCATGTAATAAAAGGCCGGCAGACCGCGCTCCAGATGGAGTACCCACTGAGGTCTTGACGTGTTACCGACTATAAGCGTCGAGATGTTTCGGTGGCCCCCTCTTACGCCCGAGTCCCACTAGAACGACAAACAAGAAAAAGCCGACATCGACAAACCTCAAGCATGTGCAGACGAGAGCCTGCCAGAAGTACCAAGGTACTTCTGGCAGGCTCTCGTCTCCCGGGCTTGCTTCCCGAGCCTGACTTTGGGTCCTTCACGTGCATGCTGAACGTGTTGGAGGCTTGTCGGTGTCGGCTGTTTCTGCTTCTCGCTCTAGAAAGACTAGGGCATTATGGTTTCCATTCCTGACAGCGTGATCGGAAGTTTCCTTTATATCGCGTCAAAAACCAGCCAGCGCCTGCGCTGGCTGGTTTTTGCCGCGATATAAAGGAAACTTATATCGCAACTTTTGACGATATGAAGGTTTTTGACGCGACAAAACCAGCCTGCGCCGCTGGCTGGTTTTGGGGCTTCCGCGGTGTCGGCCACGACTCACTATAGGGATTTCCCAGTCCTCCTTCTTTTCCTTTATTTTTTTTTTTTCTCCTTTTGGTGCTGCAGGCCTCTGGCATGGACCCTCGGTCTTTCTGCTCTCACCGGCATCTCTTTTTGAGTGCAAATAAATATTATCAATTATATTATCAAAAAAAAAAAAACGATTCCTCGCTACTTATCAGCAGTAGCACACTACAAGTTACGTGGGTCTGTTTAAAAATCACGGCGGAAGCATAAAGGTATCTCAGTTTAAACTCTCACCGTCAACGTTGAGAGTCTGACATTTTGATATCAACGTTACAATTTTGTTGTCTTCGTCCGGTTTTTTTTTTTTTTTATTGTTCTCCATCTCAGGGTGTACAAGATTCCTTACCAGCTCGTCTGCACTCTATCACTGCTGACATTGTTCTTATCTTTGTCGATAAAAGCGAAATTAATAATAAAAATTGACATTATAGTGGCACAGACAGATGCGCTAGGTTCGCAATGCTGGCTATCACGATCGCCAGCCTCTGCCAGCGCTCGTGGCTTGGGAGCCAGGGTAATAAAGAGAAAGAAGTTGACTCGAACCAAAGCTGTGGTTCGGACGCCTGCCTTTTTCCGCCGACATCATAGTGAGCCTCTGACCAATGCGAATGCCAAACTAAGCAACACCTTTGATCGTGCACCTTGCCAATAGACATGGCAAGCTTAGCTCCACGAAAAAATGAGAAAGCAGAAAAGGAAATAGAGAGGAAGCCGGAACGCTTCGAGAAGACTTCGCGAGTCGCCAGAAGCTTGCGGAAAACGCAAGGTGAAAAGAGTGGTAGAAAAGGAGCACCTGGCGACGCTTTGAAAAGACACGGCGGCAAGCGTCAGCAATACCGAAACTGAACGTAAAGACAAACACCGGTTATTACTGCGATAGTTGTTAGTGGGACCCTTCGCGGGTTTCGCGCCACAGACCGCGCTCCATATCGACGCGGGCCATTTTCGGCACTCGGCCAAAGGTATCCGCATTGACGACAGGCCGCCGACACCCTGTCGCCCATCACGTCCCCTGTTACCTGGCTGTCACGTCAGCTGATGCCATGACGTGACATTGTCATCTCAAGTCACGTTGTCTGCAGTGACGCCAAGGGACTCGACGTCGGATGACACTGAGTCATTTAATGTCATGACGTCACGTGACATTCAGACGTCAGTTGACAACACGTCATCACGTGACTGCACCATAACGGCACGTAGAAACATAAACATGAGACTGCTGCTAATGGAAACAATAAAAACATAATGTTTTCGCAAACTGTGTTAGGAAGGTTCTCGGGTGATAAAACCAATAAAGCTATCTGGGTGTTAAGCCGGCAAAACCACGGGCGTGAGATTAGCTGGAGCTATACATTAGAAACTTGAGTGCGCGATTTCGGAAGTGTTCTTCAGTGACCAAAAGGCGGTGTTAGTTTACGTCCAATAACGTTGTATAAGACGTTCGGGCAACCGTACCAACGACATGAAACGGCTCACCAATACATATGCCGTTCCGTCGTTCAATTGAAATTCTAACTTGGGCGCGCGATTTGGGATGTGTTCTTCAATTACCGCAAGACAGTCCTAGTTTGTGTCCAATAAAATTTTTTAACCGACTCACAATGAACCCTTATCGGTTCCAAAAAACGGCATGGAGATTTCGTTCTGTGAGTTACTTGATTTAATATACGAAACGTCTATGCGGACTCAATAGTGCGCGATCACACCTCTGCCGTTCATTCAGTTCATCTCTTCCGAAATGACACCTTCTGCGACGTCCCACCTGCAGCTGTCGCAGTGTTTCACATTACGGGTTGCGCAAGTGCCATAACGTTTTGGTTATTTATGGCTCAGCTGTTGTCTTGTCTTTCGTCCCCGTGATTTTCACATCCCACAAACGTCTCCAATTCATGTAGAATTTGATTTACTTTGGCTTCACGATATATCGTAGCTCTCTAAAATTTATAGGGAGTAAAGGCCGGTTCTCACATGCAGCGAAGCGCTGATGTAGCGATCCTCACGTGCCATCAGCTACTTGTCGTCTGCCATGAGCAACAGTTTTGACGGCGCAATACAAAGCTGGTGAACGCTCCCGTCAGGACGCGCTTAGCGCGAGGTCATCGCTATGCTTGTAGCGCTCCGCTGCATGTGTGAACAGGCCTTAAGATCTTTGCGAGCCTTCGAGTAGTTCAGTGAGATCAATTTTTACAGCTATGTCCGACTCCTGGCGAACGCTTCTGGACGTTGGGTGTGGGCCCACTGTTGCCAACGTCTTCCCGGCGACAAGAAAGAAGATTCAGAGCATTGTCTTCAGTGACTTGGTGCCCAGAAACCGAGAGGAAGTAGAAAAGTGGATTCGAAGGGCTTCGGAAGCCATGGACTGGTCCTTCATGAGCGAACCACTGGCCATCTTGGAAGGATGCAAGTGAGAAGGGGTTTTAACAGATCTGTAGGCTTGCAGCGAGCTAATAACAGGGAGGTTCCTTTAGCCGCAGCTCCAAATACATCTTACAAAAGAACGTCTCCACTCTCTGTCTCATACGTCTTGTATGATGGTTCAATCCTGTTGGTCATACCGCAACCGTCAGCAGACATGTTCCAAACATAGACGTATATATGAAGCAAACATGGCTCGGACACACATTAGACGTGTCCACAGACAATGTTGTCGTCATGTCTACAACGAATTCCTTTTTTTTTTAATGATGTGCGAGAAAGGTGACTCCGGCTTTTGTCTTTATATTCTAAAATTACACCCCATTTGGACTTTTTTTTGTGCGCTGATATTCGTTGTTGGCGAGGTAAACGCAGCAGATTAGATGCGTGTTTCATGTTCATCGCCGACGGCTCAATTTATCGGGAAATCAGACTGCCAAGAGACGTTCCAAGGCCGCATGAACACCCTCCGCTAAATTCGCCGGTTCGAAAAGTCCGCTGCATTTTAAACGCGGCGGTAACTGCTCGCAGCAGTGTGCAGCATCTCGGCTGTCGCCGCCGTTCATTCGATGCACACTCCGAGGAACCGGAACCTTTTTCTTACTCTGGTCAGTTACAATTGAAGAAAGGCAGGGGCGTGGCCTATTATGTTAATGCTTCTTGTTTGTGATTTGCCCGTCGGCGTTCTATCGCCTAATGCCGCAACCCAATTGGCTGCCGCGCGATAATGGCATGTGTAGAACTCGCCACGCTCCGCGTTTGTTAAGTTATCGGGGACTCTAAACACTCTAAAAAATGTCTATGCGTTTACTTTCACGCACACCACTCGGAGAGCCAATCACCGCAACTTACGGAGGCAGCTCACCGAATGGCAATGCGGAAACATATGCTTAGCCCAAAAAACGCAGTCTGAGTTGTGACATTAAGCAATGCAAAACGTCACGCTTGCATTGCTTAATGTCACAACTCAGACTGCGTTTTTTCGTCTAAACATATGCTTCGGCATCGTCATTCGCTGAGCTGCCTCCGTAAGTTGCCGCGATTGGCTCTCCGAGTGGAGTGCGTGAAAGTAGACGCACAGACTTTTTTTAGAGTGAAAGCAACACCCACTTAACGCAGGAACGTAAAGAACGGAGCCAGGGACATCGAAGAAAGGACACGCGCAGCCGCCAAGAAAGTGATCCCCTGCGACGTCCTGGACCCTAATGTCCTCCCCGAAGAACACAAGGAAGCCTTCGACGTCGTCCTTTCCAGCCTTTGCCTCGAGGCGGCGAGTCGGGATGAAAGCACCTACCGGGCAGTCACTCGGAACGTCTCAAGCCTGATTCGCCAGGGAGGGCACCTGATACTGTGCGGCATTGCAGGATCGATCGAGTACACCGTCGGCGATGCTACGTTCCCGGACCTTGGCCTGACTAAGGCCATGGTAGAAAATGCGCTAAGTGGATCGGGGATCGAGGTGAAACGCTGGAGCTCGCTTGACAAGCCCATGTCTTCGGACAGCCCGAAATATTGGGATTTCGCGTTCGTCGTCCTAGCCGAAAAGCTTTAGAGGGAACATGAAGCGGAATCTGATGGCGAGAAGGCTGTCGAGATTTCAGATAAGGCTTAATTCAGATTATAGCAACAATGATTTCCGGCACCCAGATGGCTGTAGTATCGTTCCTCTAAGCGTAGCTGTATTTTGTGGCTCTACGTTGAAACTCCGATGAGCGCCACTAAGCGGATTATTTGGCGGAAAGAGAGTGGAATTTTTCCGACTGACATGTAATGGCTCATTTCGTTCATTTGGGGCGAAATGGGGCAGTTAAGGAGGAAGGAAGATGTGCTCTGTGTCTCCAGAATCTTTTGCGCCGAAAGCAGCGCGTATTAACGCAAATAAACGATTATGCTGTCGACAAACTTGAAGCCTTTTTTCTGAACATTATGGCCAGCTATTGTGAAATAAAATTGTTTCGTGGACTCTTGAGCTCTTATTTTTTTCCCTCGACTTCACTCCTCTAGCTCTTCCGCCTATAATGCACTTGGATACAAGCGAGGGCCGCATCCACCATTCACGAAAAAATGTGTTTTCGATCAATCTTCAACTTAGAGCAATCCTTTTTGTGGTCCAATGCTGTCTGGCATTTAACTCCTTTGGGAACTATGATCTCGGCCGTGGCCTCCGCAGCGCGGCGCCAAACGGGCAACGAGCATAGTTTTAGTCAGCACGAGTACCGTCTGCCTCGCTCGGGAAATGACACCGTATATATTGCCCGAGACAGGTCTTTCTTTATAGAGTGCAGCTCTTAGGCGCCCGTTTCCGGCTTGAGCGGCGTCGCCGTCGACGTCGCCGTCGGCGTAACCGTGGGGCCCCGCAAGGTCACGTGACCCCCGCAAGGTAACGTGACCCCGGTGCCGTCATGTGACCCCCGTGAGGCTATGTGACGCGGTGGCGTCACGCGACCCCGGTGATGTCACGTGACCCCCGTGAGGTGACGTGACCTTACGGGAGTCACGGATTCCGGCGACGTCGCGTGACCCCCCTGAGGTCACGTGACCCCGGTGACGTCACGTGATCCCCGTGAGGTCACGTGACTTCCGTAAGGGCACGTGATTCCGGTGACGCTACGTGACTTCCGCAAGGTCACGTGACCCCGGTGACTTCACTTGACCCCTGTGAGGTCACGAGGGTCACGTGACGTCACGAGGGTCACGTGATCTCGCGGCTATACGCCGACGGCGACGGCGAGGCCGCTGGGAAGGAGTAGTAGCAGGCAGTATGAGGAGGTGAGGAGGAGGGTTATACACATGTATTCAGTGTAAGTTTAATTTAAACACATCGTTAATTCGAAGCGCTAAAAATTAAATTACCCAACCAAAAAGGCAATATTTGCACTCATTTTTGTAATTTATTGTTCTGCTCTTTTTTTTTATATTTTAGTTCCATGCTCGTTGCATACGACTTTAGAGAAGAGTGCCCAAAATAGTATTTTTAGCTGTATTTGAAATACTCAATTCCAGGTATTTAGGTACAGGTGACAAACACATTCCCAATATGTAATTAAATGCTAAATACTAAATAATTCAAAGCATTTCGAATACGCATTTCAAATACTTGTATTTAAAATGATGCCCATCTCTGCCATATCGACCTATTTTTTTGGGCGTTCATCAGCATCCTACGGGCATTCGTGTAACACCCTAAGGGTGTTCGCTCTGAAACAAGCTGATTGCACCCTTAAAGAGCGTAATCAGCTTGTCCCAGGGCTAACGTTAGAAGGGCACGTTGCCCCTGACAACTCATCTGAGAAGTAGTATTACACCTTTGAAAAGTTTAAAACGTTTCGTTAATTTCTGGTTCCTGAGAACTTATAAGAAAATTTAAAAAAAAATGAGGACGTGGCGAGTTTTAAGAACATTATTATTGCTCCACACAGTCCACAGCCAGTAAGTGTGCGGAATTTTCTAAATAGGAACGTCGAAAAAGGTACCGCTAAGCAAGAAGCCTGAACATGACAATACACGCCCTGCGTTTCTTTAAGTGTGAGTGACTATAAGAGTCACTCACACTTAAAGACATAGCCACTCACATTTACTGCGGGTGGCTATGTTACGTTCTGCTAAATTTATAATATGCCCAAGCCATGAGTCAAGGACTCCTTCAAAGCAAACAATAGACAGAAGTTTGACAGGGGAAATAATTATTAAAATAAGACGACCAACCAATCCCTAAACCAGGGGCCCAACGTTTCGAAGCCTGTTCGGCTTCTTCTTCAGGGGAGTTTATAGATGAAAAGAGCCACAATCTTCTTTTGTGGCTCTTTTCATCGTTGTTTTCTACAAAATAAGTGAGGTAAAGCTAAACAACATCTTCTTTTGTATCTATGTCGGTGACAAATGCGCACTATCCCTTCTGCTCCCTCTATGGCAGGGGGGGATCGGTGGCCGAGTGGGCTAAAGCGCACACAGCTCGACGCGCGTGGAGCGAAAGCTCGCGCTGCAGAACCCAGGGATCCTGGGTTCGAGCCCCACCCCTGCCCGTTTCGATCTGGATGAGCATCATACCGGCGTGCGGTCGTGTATCACTACTGCGTGGTGCACGTTAAAGACCCCAGGCTAGCGGTTGTACTGCACTGGCTAAATTGCTCATCTACAGTGTAAACCAGTGTCGCCCCTACTGGCAGACCGACCTTACGCTGTATAAATCACTCAAACGTCCAATTTGACTTTTGACTTTCCCTCTATGGCTGTTTTTTTATGACACCTGGTGGAGCCCGTTCACATACACAGATGGCAGTGCGCCTACAGCCCTATTAATGTTTGTTCGCGTGGTCTGAATGTGCCAAGATTCAAGGAAGAGCCTCCGGTAGGGGTTAGTCTCAATGTCCAAGATGCGCCTGTGAAGAAAGTCAATGCGGTGGTCATTTTTTTTTTTTTCAGTGTTCAGCACCCGCGCTGCGCTCTTGATCGAAGTTGCGCGCGTTAACCTTGTGTTGACGAATCCGTTTATGATAGTTCTTTTTTTCGCCGATATAGGAGGACGGGAACTCCGCGGAGGGAATCTGGTACACCAAACCTTGATCTTTTTTTTAGGATGCCGATCTTTCGGTCGTAGCATAAAGCGTCGAAGGGTTGAAATTGGGTTAAGGGCCATCAGAATGTCCTCCTTCGCTAGCACCCGTGCCAGAGCTTCCCTTGTTCCCTCGATGTAAGGGACGCTGATGTGCGTGATTGGCCGGCGAATTGCGGATCAACCTGCGGCTGGCGGTGTTGTCTACTTCGGTTCTCAGGACGGGTAATGCGGTGTACAAAGCTGCCCATGCATCCATCATGGCATGCGATGTCAAGCACCACAGGAATGGATGCAGGAAGCGATTTAAAAAAGGGTGGCTACAAAAAAAGACCACAAACGACGATTCCCGCAGGTTTTTTTTTTTTTTTTTGTGGCGAGTTCAAACAATCAGAGAGAACATCTGGCAGCGATACAGGAAAGAAACCAGGGTGCGCGGCAAATAGAGTTCATACGTTGAATTATACTTCGCATCATCGAACGCTACGATCGGAGTGCCCTAAAGGTTTGATACTTTGGGTGGCTGCATCCTGTTTTGCTAAAGATATATGGCGTATTGTACGGGTCTTCGACTGTTTCCGGCCAACTAAATAGCTGGGTAACTGTATTTATTTTTATTTATATATAAACTGAAAAAAAAAATATAGACGCTCTAAGGCAGCTATGCATGGGCTCTGCCATGACCGGCCTTCAGTTTTTGTTTCCTCTTATTCCGTTCGCTTCACTTCGTTATTCCCTCAGTAGGACAAGTTATTGCCTCTTTAGGTGCTACTGCGTCCTACTCAGTAGCATAGTCCTTTGTGAAGGCTCGTAAAGGCCCGCTTCAGTGGCTCGGCATCTCGGTAAGTCAAGTGAACGTCGGTAACGGCGGTTCGATTTGGCGCGTGTTTAAAACGTCTAAAGCCACCTTCAAAACGACCCTACGACCTGTAAAAATATTGGACAACAACACATATTTTCGGAAACCAATGTTACTCTTTTAATTTAAGAATACTCAGTTTATTTACGCCTGAAACATCTTAGATGGTTACAAATCATTGACTAGGGATTTTGGAGTTAGTTCGCCAAGTTGCCCGAGTTCTTTGCCGCGCCTAGCCAAAACTTTGTTAATACCAAACCAAGATGAATATTTTTAACGTAATGGAAAAGAGAACCCCAAGCGTTACACCACACTGTTATGCACAGTTCAACCTGTCGTGTTTGTTTGCTCGCTGATCGTCTTCGTCGTTTGAGCTGTTTTCATCATGTATTCCGTTTACCGACTCGCCCAATTGATACCGTAAGTGATGACGTCACAGCATGGCGCTTCGCTCCAAACAAACAGTTACTGGGGCCGTTGTAATGGACAAATGCATAGGCGCTCGATGAGAGGTAAGAAATTGTCTGAAGAAAAACTAAATTATTTTTTGTGAGCATTCTGTCTTCTCAAAATATAATCATTAAAACTTGTTCTATCGTCTCAGTACCATAAAGCGATCACAAAAGCCAACAATAAATTTTCACCACCGGGATTGCCCGGGGACAAATCCAGAACTCCGCGTTTATTTTATTTATTTATTTTTTTTTTTTTTGGGGGGGGGGGGGGGGTGGGCAGAAAATTTGTAAGGATGCTATTCTCCCATTCTTTCGTATGCACCGGGGGGTCCACCTATGTGAAATTGCCCTCCGATAAGGGGGGAGGGGGCGGTCGACTTTGTTTGGGGTGGGGGGGGGGGGGGTGGCTTCCCCCCTCCCCCTTGGATCCGCCCCTGGGTTTGCCTCACTAGCAGAGAACAGAGTGACTTCGCGGGTTCGGTGGTTCTTTCTGAGGGAGCAAGCGACCTCGTTGAATGAGGTTGGAGACGATCGACGAAACTCCTATTCTCGGGGTCAACTTGCGTGGGATCTTTGGAAGCGAAGAGTGCCCGACACAGCTTTTACAGGCGCTCGAGGTGCACGAACGCCTTCCCGTGGAGCTCGCTTTCGCAATATTTGAAAAGGTGAAAAACACCGTGAATCAG